ATTCCATGCCTACCAGCAGAAGAGAGGCGGGAGTAAGAAAGTCTAATTATAAGAAAATAGCAGGTTCTTAATACCATCTGGGTAGTGTGCAGAGGAAATAATCTGAGTTGGGGGATGGAGAAATCATGGAGTTCTGACTTGATCTAAGAGAGATTCTGTGAAGAAGCTGAGAGCTCCACTGACTTTAAAGGACGGATCCATTTAAAGTGCAGAGGAGGTTAAGATCATAATAAGCTGGAGAGCTGAGCAAAGGTGTGGAGGAGGGAGCTTTAGAAAGCTTATTTGGGGTAGATCAGCACGCCTGGAGCTGAGGGTTGACTGGGAGATATTTTTGTAAAGACAGATTGGACCCATTATGTAGAGGACCATAACTACTAAGAACCTTGGACTTGAGAATTTTTAAAATAAAACTCAAAATAAGATTAGCAAACCTTCAACTTTTGAAAAGCTGTAATGAGGGACTTCCCTGGTAGCACAGTGGTTAAGAATATGCCTGCCAGTGCAGGGGATGTGGGTTTGATTCCTGGTCCAGGAAGATCCCACATGCCACAGAGCAACTAAGCCCATGTGCCACAACTACCGAGCCCGCATGCCACAACTACTGAAGCCCGTGCACCTAGAGCCCGTGCTCTGCAACAAGAGAAGCCTCCGCAATGAGAAGCCCATGCACCACAACAAAGAGTATGCCCCGCTTGCCGCAACTAGAGAAAGCCTGCGTGCAGCAGCGAAGACCCAACACAGCCAAAAATAAATAAATAAAATAATTTATTTTTTAAAAAGCTGTGATAAATAATATGGCAAGCTTGAGTTCACACAAATTTTAACTAGCATGTGAAAATATTAGCAAAATCACAGCTCATACATATATGTGTACAAAGTTAAGCAATAATCTGAGATTCATCAGTGAATGCAAAAAATCTACATCTGAGTTATCTGTTTAGTTATTGAGGTCAAACACTGAACACAAAAACAAATGGCTTAAATTGACTTTTTACAAAAACTTAAATTTAATGAAAAAAAAAAGATGGGACATTTTGTCTCTTTCTTGCCAAATGCTTGTTTGATTAGATTTTTCACATTCCAAACAGATGTTTTAAAGTAATTTCAATAAAGTTTATCTTAATGACAGAGAAGTCATGACATTTAAATGTCACAAATATTTGCTATAGAAGTCTTTTTTCCCAGCACTTAGATCAAAATACTAAAGAGAAATAAACCAAATGTTAATGGTGGGTGTTTCTGAGTGTATAGTAATGAGTGATATTTCTTCTTTGCTCTTTCCAAATCTCCTATAATAAACATATATTCTTGTTGTAGTAAACAGTAAAATGAAACAAATTCCAGTTTATAATACTATATTATTTGGAATAATGATAGAAAAGGCAAAATAACGGCTCAAACAAGATAAGTAGTTATGCTCACATGAAATCCCCTCCCCCTCAAGAACCTAGATGTCTTCCACCTCAAGGCTCCAGCATCTCAAAAGTGTGGTCCTCAACCTCCTGGTCCAGTAAAGCTGTAGCTGAGTTTTAGGCAAAAGGATGGAAGCAGACATGAAAAATAAAAAGAGGGCAAAGGGCTTGTGCCAGCTGTCTCTGAAGAAGTATGTTAGTTATCTATTCCACACAACAAACTACCACGTACTTAGCAACTTAAACAACAGATATTTATTATCTTACAGTTTCCAGGGTCAGGAATACAGACACAGCTTAGCTAGTTCCCTGGCTTAGGGTTTCACAGTGTTGCTATGAAGATATTGGCCAGGCTGCATTCTCATCTGGGGGCTCAACTAGGGAAGAAACCACTTGTAAGATGACCCAGGTTGTTAGCAGAATTTGTTTCCTATGCTTCTAGGACTGAGGGTCCAGCTTATTGCCAGCTGTTGCCTGGAGGCTGCCCTCAGCTCCTAGAGGCCATAGTTCCTAGAAGCTTCCCACAGTTCCTAGAGGCCTCCCATGGTTTCTTGAGGACTCTTGAAGTTCTCTGACACATGGACTTCCCCAGTGTGGCCACTTACTTCACCAAGCTGGGACAGAGCCCCTAGAGTTAGTCTGCTGGCAAGATGGAGTCCTATGTAATATAACTTAACTGTGGGAGTAACATCCCATCATCTTCACCATACTTTATTGCTTAGAAACAAGTCACTGATCCTACCCACACTCTCCCAGGGAGAAGGATTCTAGAAGGGCATGAACACCAGAAGACAGAGATAATGAGGGCTTCCCTAGTGTCTGTCCACCACAGAAAGTTTCCCAGAAACAATCACATAATCTTTCCTCTTGTATCCCATTGGCTACAGCTGACCCACATCTAGTTGGAAAATGCAGCCTCTTTTTCTGGCTAGCCATATGTCCTGTTACAAGTGCTATTACTGTGGAAGAAGGAGACATGGAATATTGGGAGACAACTAGCAGATTGCCTTCCAATCAGAGACCTTCCCATCAGAACTTTTATAGCAATTCGGCGAGCTGAGGAACACAACAGCATCTGGCATAGATTAGGAGGAGGCCAAATGATGCTCCCTTATTACATCTACTAAATTGACTACTAGCTGTAGTTTGGTTATTAGAAGAATAGAAATTAAATTCCTTTAGAAGGATAGAAATTAAATTCCTTTAAAAGAAGAAAAGTGGGGCTTCCCTGGTGGCGCAGTGGTTGAGAGTCCACCTGACGATGCAGGGGACACAGGTTCGTGCCCCAGTCCGGGAAGATCCCACATGCCGCAGAGCAGCTGGGCCCATGAGCCATGGCCGCTAAGCCTGCGTGTCTGGAGCCTGTGCTCCGCAATGGGAGAGGCCACAACAGTGAGAGGCATGCAAACCGCAAAAAAAAAAGAAGAAAACTGTTTGAAAAGAATATCATGTTCAATTCACTTGTACACTGAGAGCTAGTCTCAGGTAAATCAATTCGATCTAGTGTTATAACTTTTTTTATTCTTCTAAACATGGTCAACCTGGTTACCATTTAAAAGATTTTTGTGTATCTATATAACCCTTTTAAAATTGCATAGCACTTTCTCACATATCTCATTTTATTTTCATTTCTCTCAATGAGTGTCCATTACTCTGTTTACCAAGTGAAGTTAAGTGACCAGCCCAAAGTTAAGTAACTGGAAAACAGCACAGCCCAAGCTGAGGCCCAGGTTGTATACCTCTATATAGAGTCTACTACACTATAATGTCAAGAAATCTATTTTATTGAAGAACAAAAATTTGAGTATATTACATATTTGAACAAACGCTAGATGTTGTTCAAGCTCCAAAAGTTTGGATATATCCAGATAATTGATGGATTTTTGTTTGGTCTCTCTCTGCTGTGTCTGACATAGCCCCAGCCAAAAGGACTGATGAAGAGAAGGAAAGAAGGAGAGGAAGGCAGGTCAAAGGAAGGGACAGTAGGTTAGGTTGCTAGAGGATGCTGCACCATTAAAAGAGCTTTAACATTTGAATGTGACTGTAAAGAGAATTTTTAAGTATTAAAAAGTATTAGTTACATAGTCAATCCAATCCTCCAGAAAACAATTAAGTGGAGTCAGGTGGTTGCAAACACTGAGACTTTTCTAAAACAGGTTCCTGCTAGACTACTGAAATTAAACTCTCACATACACACCCTACCCTTCACCGCTATTACCCTGGACACTCTGTGGTTGTGGGTTGTTGTTGGTTTTTTTTCTGCAAAATGAAACAATGAAATCAGGCTAGGTACCATGATTCACTGAAAATCAGTCCCATAGGTAAGCTTCTCTGAACCCTTAAACACCCTCACTCCTCCCCATACTAGGTCAGGTTGCCTGATACTCATTCTCATCACCCTGTATGTTTTCACTGTGGCAGTAAAAATAGTACATGATAATTCTAAGTAATGTTGTACTTAAATTAACTGTCAGTTTAGCTGTGTAATGACAATGTGAAAGTCAGGAGGTCAGGGTCTGCTGCAACCTTTCTAACTCACCACTACATTTCTACAGCACATTATATACATATATCAATACATATCTACCCCATACATATTTGATGATGGTGTAAACATAACTCATTCAATAATGAAATGAGCCTGAGTTTTGAAAGTAACTTTTTGCCAATCATCTTTTTTTCTTTCCTTTTTCTTTCCCCTCTCTCTTACCCACCCCATATCCAATCTACCTCAAAGGTCACCATCAGTGTGCTTATTTTGGAACATTACTTCCTAAGACTGATTTTCTTCTTCTACACAATTATAATACATTTTGCTGAGCTTTTATCTACTGATACATTATATAACAGCATACAAAGAGCTCCAACATGTGACAAGTTCTTGTTTTCTGTCTCACTGCCATCCCTGTTGCTATTAATGTGCAGAGGTTCTATCATTACTCTTTGTCAAAATGGTTAAGTTCTTAGGTAAAGGAGTTATATAAAGCTCACAGAGACAAACATATATATAAAATAACCAAGACTGACTTCAAGGAATGCTAACACACAGCCTATTATTTATAAAGTAATATAAATTAAGTTGACATGGTTCTCCTGGCTTCATTTTGTTTAAATTCTATCCTGTAATGAAAAGTAATAGTTTTCTATATTGAGTTAAAGTTAAGGTTTTTCACAAGAGCCAGAAAGCTGTTGCCCCCAGAATAGTCAGGCTTGAATAAAAAATACTTCTGTTACCATCCCAAGCCCTTTAACCCAGTTTAAGATTTCTTCTTTTGCTGTAACTACGAGGCTATGACAAGTTTTAGAACTCTAGAGGGTCTGCACTAACCCTATTCCCTGCCCTGATCAACAAGAGAATTGAGTTCTAAATGTATAATTTATATATAAAACCATAGGCACAAACTGTGAATGGAATCTTTCAAAGATTAATTCTTAAATATAGGTTACATACAGAGCTTAAGGAAAAGAACATTTTAAGATCTGGATTTATTTGCCCAGTCAACACTTATTTATCTTTTCCAGAGGGCTGAGCTCTATCTTGTGGAGGGAAAATAAAATGATCATGGGGCTTCCCTGGTGGCGCAGTGGTTGAGAGTCCGCCTGCCGATGCAGGGGACACGGGTTCGTGCCCCGGTCCGGGAAGATCCCACGTGCCACGGAGCGGCTGGGCCCGTGAGCCATGGCCGCTGAGCCTGCGTGTCCGGAGCCTGTGCTCCGCAACGGGAGAGGCCACAACAGTGAGAGGCCCGCGTACAGCAAAAAAAAAAAAAAAAAAAGATCATGAATTCCCGAGTAAAATGAGACTTTAGAGAAAAATGTTTGGGTTTAACCAGTAGGTTCCAGTAATTTCATTTCGTTTCTGTGTACGTGTTTGATTTCAAGTGTGAGTTTTAAGAAAAATGAATGAGGGCACCTACTATTTTTATCTCAGAAGGCAGAAGATGCTGAATAACACAGATGTGATGCTAAGTGAGCTGAGTTCCCATTTTCTATTTCTTCTATTACTACTGAGATCTCTTGCTCATATCTAAGGGAGAAAAACTATACACATAAATTTTCCCTATCCCAATTAAATTTTCATTTATTTATACTCACAGTTCTCTAATTCAAACGTTTGGCAGAGAATTCAGTCCAAACGCCTCAAGCCTAAGAATATTGGATATGTCAATCCACAATGTACAGGGCATCTCAATTTTCTCTGCTATTTCTCTTTTTTCTAACAACTTTTTATATCACTATTTCAAAGATACTTTCAGAGGAGCAAAACAAAATTAATTCATACAACTCCTACTTCTTGAATATTTATTATTTTCTTCAACCTCTTGAAATCAAAGGATCAGATATAATGGAGAAACATCATTATAGGTAGGGAAAGTATTCTGGGGTCTTTCTATGAAGGCTGTTTTCACACAGATTGAAAGAGAAATCATCCATTTTATTCTCACAAAGAATCTCTCTTGTACTACATGGCACGAGGCCAAGCTATAAAATGATGTTTTAATGTTGCAAGCTAGATCAAAGAACCACGTTAATGATGTTTGGTCCTGCCTGAGTATTGAGAGAGCTTTGAAGACTCACACAGTATATTCTACAATCTGATGATTGCTTGTATTTCCCATTCAAAATGAAACAAAACAACAGTTATTTCAAAATTTATGCTAAACCTATAGATATGAATATGTTTATACTGCCAAATAGTCATCACCCAAGGCTGGTAATTAACTACATACATTATGATCAGAACAGAAGAACTTAAACTAGTTGCACATTAGGGAAATAGCTATTTTTGAGGACAAAGCATTTGAAAATTAAACAGAAATGATAGAAAATAATGCACAGAGGTATTTTTTGGCTAAGGAATCAAAACAACTTTTAATGACAGAATATAAGACAGTGATTTCCTTTATCAGGGACAATGTAAAACATTGCCTATTATCTAAGAAAATAACTTCTTTCTCTTCTTTAGTTCATTTTAAATGACCACTGTTGTGCAAGGCCCTGTACCTGGGGCAGTGAAAGACACAAAATGAACCAGGGAGGGATACAGCCCTTAAGGAGGTAAGAATGTAGCAACTGTTACCCCGTTTCCAACTCTTGCTACTTTTTACTATTCCAAAGGCCCTATATTTTTTAACAAACCATTCCAGTTTCATTGATAGTTTACCTAATCGACTGTATCAGAAGCAAATTAAAATTCTGACTTTAGGTGGGACCTTCAAGATGGCGGAGGAGTAACATGTGGAAATCACCTTCCTCCCCACAAATATATCAAAACTACACCTACATGTGGAAGAACTCCTACAGAATACCTACTGAAGGCTGGCAGAAGACCTCAGATTTCTCGAACTTCAGAGAGTGAAGAAAGAGGTACTAACTGATGTAAACCAAGAGAAATCTATAGGATAGACAGCAAAGGATTGCGCTGTGGGCAGACTAGACTGAACAACCACTGCAGGGATTTCTAAGCTCCAGAGGCAAAAAGCCGTGTGGCTGACAGGATTTTCGTGCTCCTGCCAGGTGTCAGACCTGTGCCTCTGAGGTGGGAGCGCTGAGTTCAGGAAATTCGTCCACCAGAGACCTCCAGGCTCCATGCAACATCAAACGGCAAAAGTTCTCCCCGAGATCTCCAACTCAACGCTAAGACTTAGCTCCACTAAACGACCAGCAAACTACAGTGCAGGACACCCTATGCCAAACAACTAGCAAGACAGGAACACAGTCCCACCCATTACCAGAGAGGCTGCCGAAAATCATAATAAGTACACAGAAACCTCAAAACACACCACCAGACGCGGTCCTGCCCACCAGAAAGCCGAGATCCAGCCTCATCCACCAGAAGACAGGCACTAGTCCCCTCCACCAGGAAGCCTACACAACCCACTGAATCTACCTTAGCCACTGGGGGCAGACACCAAAAACAACGGGAACTACGAACATGCAGCCTGCGAAAAGGAGACCCCAGACACAGTAAGGTAAGCAAAATGAGAAGACAGAGAAACACACAGCAGATGAAGGAGCAAGATAAAAACCCACCAGACCTAACAAATGAAGAGGAAATAGGCAATCTACCTGAAAAAGAATTCAGAGTAATGACAGATAAGATGATCCAAAATCTGAGGAAGAGAATGGAGAAGATACAAGAAATGCTTAACAAGAACCTAGAAGAACTAAAGAGCAAACAAACAATAATGAACAACACAATAAATGAAATTAAAAATTTTCTAGAAGGAATTGGTAGCAGAATAACTGAGGCAGAAGAACGGATAAGTGACCTGGAAGATAAAGTAGTGGAAATAACTATCACAGAGCAGAATAAAGAAAAAATAATGAAAAGAATTGAGGACAGGAGAGGTCAGGAAGATGGCGGAAGAGTAAGATGCAGAGATCACCTTCCTCCCCACAGATACACCAGAAATATATCTACACGTGGAACAACTCCTAGAGAACACCTACTGAACGCTGGCAGAAGACCTCAGACCTCCCAAAAGGCAAGAAACTCCCCACGTACCTGGGTAGGGCAAAAGAAAAAACAGAGACAAAAGAATAGGGATGGGACCTGCACCGGTGGGAGGGAGCTGTGAAGGAGGAAAGGTTTCCACACACTAGGAAGCCCCTTCGCGGGCAGAGACTGCAGGCGGCGGAGGGGGAAAGCTTCGGCCTGCGTAGGTGAGAACAGCAACAGGAGTGCGGAGGGCAAAGCGGGGAGATTCACGCACAGAGGATCGGTGCTGACCGGCACTCACCAGCCTGAGAGGCTTGTCTGCTCACCTGCCGGGGTGGGCGGGGCTGCGCCCTGAGGCTCGGGCTTCGGTAGGAGCGCAGGGAGAGGACTGGGGTTGGCGGCGTGAACACTGCCTGCAGGGCATTAGTGCACCACAGCTAGCCGGGAGGGAGTCCGGGGAAAAGTCTGGACCTGCCAAAGAGGCAAGAGACTTTTTCTTCCCTCATTGTTTCCTGGTGCACGAGGAGAGTGGATTAAGATTGCTGCTTAAAAGAACTCCAGAGACGGGCGTGAGCCGCGGCTACAAGCGCAGACCCCAGAGACGGGCATGAGACGCTAAGGCTGCTGCTGCCGCCACCAAGAAGCCTGTGTGCAAGCACAGGTCACTATCCACATGCCCCTTCCGGGAGTCTGTGCAGCCCGCCACTGCCAGGGTCCCGGGATCCAGGGACAACTTCCCAGGGAGTACGCACAGCGCGCCTCAGGTGCAATGTCATGCTGGCCTCTGCTGCCGCAGGCTCGCCCCGCACTCCGTACCCCTCCCTCCCCCCGGCATGAGTCCCGGAAGCAGCTGCTCCTTTAACCCCGTCCTGTCTGAGCTAAGAACAGACGCCCTCCGGCGTCCTACAATCAGAGGTGGGGCCAAATCCAAAGCTGAGCCCCAGGAGCTGTGAGAACAAAGAAGAGAAAAGGAAATCTCTCCCAACAGCCTCAGAAGCAGCAGATTAAAGCTCCACGATCAACTTGATGTACCCTGCATCTGTGGACAACATGAATAGACAACGAATCATCCCAAATTGAGGAGGTAGACTTTGAGAGCAAGATTTATTATTTTTTCCCCTCTTCCTCTTTTTGTGAGTGTGCATGTGTATGCTTCTGTGTGAGATTCTATCTGTATAGCTTTGCTTCCACCATTTGTCATAGGGTTCTATCCATCCGTTTTTTTTTTCTTTAAAGAAAATTTTTTTTCTTAATAATTATTTTTTATTTTAATACTTTATTTTATCTTAATTTTATTTTATCTTCTTTCTTTCTTTCCTTCCTTCCCTCCTTCCTCTCTCCCTCCCTCCTGCCTTTCTTTCTTTCTTTCTTTCTTTCTTTCCTTCTACATTTTCTCCCTTTTATTCTGAGCCCAGTGGATGAAAGGCTCTTGGTGCTGCAGCAAGGAGTCAGTGCTGTGCCTCTGAGGTGGGAGAGCCAACTTCAGGACACTGGTCCACAAGAGACCTCCCAGCTCCACATAATATCAAATGGCAAAAATCTCCCAAAGACCTCCATCTCAACACCAGCACCCAGCTTCACTCAACAACAGTTGAGCAAGCTACAGTACTAGACACCCTATGCTAAACAACTAGCAAGACACGAACACAACCCCACCCATTAGCAGAGAGGCTGCCTAAAATCATAAGTCCACAGACACTCCAAAACACACCACCAGACGTGGACCTGCCCACCAGAAAGACAAGATCCAGCCTCATCCACCAGAACACAGGCACTACTCTCCTCTACCAGGAAGCCTACACAACCCACTGAACCAACTTTAGCCAAAGGGGACAGACACCAAAAACAACAGGAAGTACAAACCTGCACCCTGCAAAAAGGAGACCCCAAACACAGTAAGATAAGCAAAATGAGAAGACAGAAAAACACACAGCAGATGAAGGAGCAAGATAAAAACCCACCAGACCTAACAAATGAAGAGGAAATAGGCAGTCTACCTGAAAAAGAATTCAGAATAATGATAGTAAAGATGATCCAAAATCTTGGAGAGAATAGACAAAATGCAAGAAACATTTAACAAGGACCTAGAAGAACTAAAGATGAAACAAACAATGATGAACAACACAATAAATGAAATTAAAAATAGTCTAGATGGGATCAATAGCAGAATAACCGAGGC